ATTTTAATAAAATATAAAATTCATCTGGATACGAGTCCAAGTTTACTTGCCATGTCTAATCACCAGGAACAACTATTTCCATTGCAGAGACAACCTTTCTTTAGAGGCTATGCCTCTGCACAAATATGTAAAACAGTTTAAAATGTTTACAGGTGACAATCTCAACACAATTAAAAATATAATATTTGTTTGTAGAACATTAGACATGGCATTTGTTTGTAGAAGATTAGACATGGCAAGTAAACTTGGACTCGTATCCAGATGAATTTTATGTTTTATTAAATTGTAATTCTGCCAGCCCATTTCTATAAACAAATATTATATTTTTAATTGTGTTGGGATTGTCACCTGTGGACATTTTAAACTGTTTTACATATTTGTGCAGAGGCATAGCCTCTAAAGAAAGGTTGTCTCTGCAATTGAAATAGTTGTTCCTGGTGATTAGACATGGCAAGTAAACTTGGACTCGTATCCAGATGAATTTTATGTTTTATTAAATTGTAATTCTGCCAGCCCATTTCTACAAACACATTTTAATATATGTTAATTAAATTACAGAGAGTGTACAGACAGCAGCCAAATAGTCATATATTCTTTCTTGATGATATCAGCAATGTGAAGTGTAAAACTAAAGGTAAGAACTTATTTCATATGAAAATTTATACTAAAAATTATTTTAATATACAGTTGACCCCCCTATAATGTGGGTTCATATAATGCGGATTTGTATATTACGGCGAAAAAATTGTGACCATATTCGTATAAAGATACTAAAAGAAACTCGTAAAATGCGGTAAAACATCATTGCCGACTCATGTTGCGACAGGATTGGTCGAATCTTGACCAATAGTGGACGAGCAGCGAAACTACTTACACACTACGGAGAGTTTAGGCGGGCAAGTTGAGTTTACTATCGTCTGTTCAGTATATAAATTAGGTACTGTAAGTCTAATACAGTACTGTAATTTTATACATTTCTTGTGATAAAAACATTTCTTATTCAATGGCCATAAAAATTATTTCTATTAATGATGTCTCCAAAGTTCAACGAAGTTTTCACAGAAAAATAACTTATCAGAAAACGCGCCTGCCATTTGGTGCGCTGCTCCACGACAAAAACAAGCTAAGCAATGGCGTCGTCACACAGTGCACATTCAGTAAATAATCCTACAATTTTTTGTTTATAGCATAGTTTATACAGATTATTCCCAAAAAATATGTGTGTTTTGGAAATGTTGAGCCAAATTAGTCTAGAATCGGTTAATTTTATGGAAGAAAACCTTTCAAACAGCCGTAGTCCGTAAACTGCACACATGCTGGGCTGTGATTGGCTCATGTATTTAAGGATTCCTACAACGTGAAATTCTTATAAAGTGGAACATATCTACTGCATTATAGGGGGGGTCAACTGTAGTTCCTAATCTTTTTAAAAAAATTAATTTAACAAATGTAAAAGAGATACACAAATTTTATTTCTATTTTATCTTGCATCATCTTGT